TCAGAATAAAGCAACTAATTGAGTGATGATGCAAGAAGTCAATGCTGGATGGCAATTCCGAAAATGTAAGTAAACATAAACGAATTATACATTCAAATATACTTTGAGCAAGCACTTTTCTGTTCTTTCATTATCCATTATCACCTTTACTCGAATTGTTCCCGTCTAACTTGATGAGGTGCTTTGTTCCAGTCTAGTCCAACATCATTCGAGAACTTGGATATTCACGTTCCTCTGAATTATCAAATGAATTCCCGAAGTCGTTGAAGTAACATCCGGCGACACACATTTTTACCTATGCACTTACCTAAATATGTAGAGATACGTTTATATGTATATCCTCAAAATTTACACAAAAATTTGTGAATTTTCAAACTCTCAACCTAAACTAATTCAGAGTATCGTGTTTTCTTATGCAGTTGTTGTTCTGATAAACTTGTGCTCCTCTGTGCCTCTTCGCTATCTATCAGCAATTAATCACCGAGCTTCTTTCAGACGTGCATATACTTGTTATACTTCCTGAGCTATATTTACTCCCAGCACTGCATATCATCCCAACAATAAAACGCTTCCAACCGAACACATAAACTTCCAGAGATATAGCGCCAATCCGAGCCATCCATCCATCTTACGCGTTCAATTCGTGGCTTAGTACATTACTGTTGATGACTAATCGCCTTCCACATAAACGAATGAACACTTTATCATATTCTTTGCATGTTTTCTGATGCTTTGTTCGGATATCATTCATTCATCCATTTATTTTCGCGTTCCAATTTTTTTTTGTTCAAATTCTCGCTAAAAAGCCATTCTCTAATCGCTTTATGAAGAGCGATTTCGTATGTCCGAATGCGTTTCACTGTGCTGTTATTCGGCAGTAACTTAGCCGACCGATCATTTAAAAAACTTTTCTCTATTATAAAATAACTGTTGAAATCTGCTGCAAAATTGATCTTCGAGGCTATCTATCGATATTAATCTTACCCTGTTATCTTCTGATTGTGAGCAAATTTGTCTTATTGCATTTACAGCTTTGAAGCATTCGAAAGATTTTCGCCTGGCACCGTAATTTTGAGTAATCTGATATAATAAATACATTATGTCAGAAGTCATACCACGCATACACCTGTGCTATACAATATATACCATGTGTACCACCTGTGCTATAGATACACCATACCTGTACGACGCATAGCTTATATGTTTTCAGAAAATGCATGGATATAAAATGAAGGTGCTACGTGGCTGGAAGAAAACAAAATCCGATATTTTTGGAATCATACTCAAAAAATACGAAGTGAGTTGCTCGTTTACAGCTGTTGCTGATACGTATTATATCAATACATTGATAAGTAATACCTAATGATGACTATCTTAAGTTGCATATCATCATTCCGACAGTATTGTGCAATGATGGCATCCAGTGAAGATTTTCAAACGCAAAGTTTCTTGCAGAGGTGTGTTATCCGCCTGAAACGATGCGTTCTGCCTCCGCCAAGACAGAACACCTCGAAACGTTTGAGTCGAACGAAACTTCATCCTCTTCCAGGTCACTTATCACTATTATCAATTCGAGGGTCATTATCAGTAACTTTATCTATTTATACTTCACAATTCACTTCTACTAAACCATTCCATTGACTGATCAAAAAATTCGCTGCCTTGCAACTATCTGTGTGCTGCAATCTTGCAGCAGCGAATTTTTAAAGCCGTTACTTTCAAGTAATAATGATGATAATTGTTATTACGAGAGCAATGACTTTCGAGTATGCAATCTGTTTGTTGTATTGATATTGGCGTGGACCAATATTATCGGTGGAGGTGTGAGTTTACCGAAAACATTAAGTGTAATATTTCACAGCATTCACAAAGCTTTACAAATGACAAATGAGTGCCGTCTTAAGATCTCTTCTTCAAGCTTGAATTCGTAATTTCTCACTGAATGAGTCTAAACGGATGCGTATTTCCAGCATATTAGCTCTAATTGGTTTACTGTACAAACCAATTCACATACGTTTATATTTGAAATACACAAATCAACATCTTTCTAATATTTGAGATTTTTGAGAATTTGATGACTCACATGGAAAAAAACATTATTGTTTTTTAATGTTTACCAATTCTTAACGATGAATTTCTGCGTGTTTCCACTAATGCAAACAATATCCCGAAATATCCCAGATCCCACTCAATCATTTATATTTGTGCAATAGTACACAAATAAGTAAACAAATAAATATAAACACATATATTTATCTATNTTTTAATGTTAACCAATTCTCAACGATGAATTTCTGCGTGTTTCTACTAATGCAAACAATATTCCGAAATATCCCCAATCCCACTCAATCATTTATATTTGTGCGATAGTACAAATAAACAAATAAATATAAATATAAACATATATATTTATCTATTTATACTCCACAATTTACTCAAGCACTTAACAAATGCAATGATTTCAAACTGCAAATGTCAATCCGAATCAACCGATATGACGTCAATGCAAAGCAGTACGTCTTCAGAGAGTTTCTCAGTTCTTCAAAAGAAGTTTCATTGAGTTGGGTGAAGTGCTATTGAACACTCTCAAACAACCGCATTGATTGATTCAAACGAATGCATAGATATTTGATCCCTGCAGCAAATATCCTCATCACAATCCGCTAGATACACGCACATTTTCATTAATCATGTTTATAGTGAAACTTTGTATGGCTTCAAGAAGCGTTCCTTCATTTTATAAGTTTTGATATCAATATTAAATATCAGTGATTGATGATAGTATCGAGAAGAATAACGTAGAAATTGTGAGGGTGAAAAGGGAACGAATTTCACCATTATCATTTATTGCCATACACTTCCTATGAATCTAGGCTTTATTTCATTCTCACAATAGATCTTGTGACCTGTACATCCACATGAAGTACTGATTGTGAATAAAATCGTACCATTCTCACTGAATCACCGAAAATGTTGAGAGGGGTCAGAAAAAAATCAGTGATTTGATTGAATTTGCTCGTTGATCGAATAAGATTGATGGCTGTTTTTGATACTGACAATGAGAATATTCAACATAATTTACCATCATCATCATTGCATGATAAAGCAACAATCGACCATCCACGTGCAAAAATATATACATCCCTGGATATCATATGATTCCAAAAGATACATAACATATTTCAGTCCCAATCGATCAATCAAAAACTTATACTGACTTTGTTGATTGGATGAGAATTGATCAAAAATCTGATTCACCACAAATTTGATAAGCCAAACTGTGCAATGAATAGTATTCAAGAGCCCAAATCTTCAGTCCTTTNTTTCAGATAAGCCAATAAGGAGGGTCGCTTCAAAGCTTTCCCGAAAGCCCACGAATGAGCTGGAACGAATGCGACGAAAGGTAAGGAATGGAGTGTTTGCTGATTAAAGGAATAAGAGTAATCATATATTTCCAATGGAACGAGAATCAGAAAGTATGAAAAAATTATTGAAAGGAAATGAGCAATGCTCCTAAAATGCAAACTGAATGCGAAGCAAGAGAACGTTAATCATCAGAATCGAATGTAGATCTAGGAAGGAAATAGTGATCTTGACAGTAATGGATGATTCCGGAGTATTTTGGGAAGTAGTGGAATGCCTGATGATATTCTTGACAGACTGTCGTATCTTGAGAACAGATTCCATAAGGGCTCTTGAAATCACGGAATCCAATCAAAATTGAGAAATATACTTTTTGTGGATATCAGGGTCAGGCGAGATCAAAGCTGAGAGATAGGTATTGTAACTAATCTCAACTATTGGTGTTGTCCATTTTTAGTATATTCATTTGAAATCACAGGTCATTTTTGCGTCAGTTGTGTTCTTCTTTAAATATTTTCCATTTAAGGGTGATAATTGGAATGCGAATGATTTATTCCGATTTCAATACGGTTGTTTCGATGGTGTTGAGGCGGATGAATTACGTGAGATTTGCGAGGAATGGCTGAATCGACTTTATGCGATACCCAAAAAATATTGTTATCTTGCTTGGTGAGTCATTTCATATAGCTGATCTTACTTGATTATTCGTCTGGTCATCTTTTCTTGTGAATGTCAAGCAGCTCAGTGAACGCGTGCTTGTGACTGCAGGTATGCTTCGGCAATATATGCGTGTTTCTATCGAATAGCTCCATTGATAACTGATATCGATGATAAGAAGGACCTGTGGCAGGATGTTAAGCGTGAATACGCCGAGATCATGCAAATGGGTCGTCGTATTTGGCGACGTCCCACACATCCCAGTCGGTTGAGAGTTGTTTACGATTTGGGCATGCTTTGCGTCAGATTTAATGAATTGCATGTTAGTTCTTGATTCAATTTCATCTTCGTGTTTATATCCATCACTTCAGTCGGACTAATCACCACTTCATAATGCAATACCTTATCGAACGAATGAGGAAAATTTGAAAGGAGTGTTTGTTTCAGGATGACCTGACAAT